GGAATTCTGCCAAACGCGACTTTGGCACCGCACGCCGACATCATTCGCGCGCTCTTGCGCGCGTGCTGGGGGGGCACGATCCGTGTCAAATAACACCACGCAGGCCACTTTCGCACGTCGGCCGCGCGCGCATGCCGAACTCTTCCCAAAACCTTCCTCGCCGACGCGGGGACGCCGTCATCGTCGTCGGCGTGATCAGCATCGGCGCCCGCACTGGCCGCGCCGTCGTCGCTGTCAGCATCGCCACCAGCATCGCTACTATCATCATCCTGTCTACCGTTGTCGGCGATGCCATGATGCCGCGCCCGCCCAAGTCGCCGACTCGCACTGAAGTGCCCGCTGGGGTGTGCCCAGCGGTCAGCGCCACCGCGGCCGCGTCGGTCGCGCCAAACCAGCTGGCAGCTGCGCGCGCGTGTTGAGTTGGCCCGGCCGCAAAGATGGACCAGCCAACGCCAAGCATGCATCGCAATCGCCACCGCATGGGTTTTGCAAACCAAGTTGCGGGTGGGTGGGTGTGAGGTCTGCAAGAACATGGGATGTGTCAACTCGTTTGTTAAAATAAATTGCTCCGCGTAGAATTCACAACGGTTGCGCTGTGGGGCGCATGCAGCGTGGTGGAGACGACACAAGAACAACCGGCCCCCAAGTACTTGTCCGCGAATTCGTTCGAGAGGTACACGCCTGGATCAACGTGACCACAGGCAGCATGACCCCCTCCCAACAGGCGGCGGCACTGCAGCGCGGTCTGGGAGGCCTCGCACGGACCATAGCCGTGAGAGTACCCCCCTCAGTCATCAACGTTGGCGTTAATATTGGCGGCTGCCACACTGATGGCGTCATCTATCTCATGTTCCTCCTCAGTACGAAGTTTGAGAACTTAAAGGAGGAATGCCAACACAATCCGGGAACGGCTCTCATTGATTTTTGCGTCCATGCACCACGTAAATTCCTGCACCTGGTTGCTCCACGTACATTGCACCACATCGATTTCTAGAAACACTCCGTTTAAGGTACACGCTGGCCAACATTCTAATGATTCGAAATTCTACGAACAGGAAAACTAGCTATCCGCCGACCCCCGCTGGTCGGGGGTGCAAAGGCGTGTGAGATGGTTGACTGCTTCCCTCCCCCGCTCCCCCTTCCCCACCCAGGGTCCAAAATCGAGTGTCGAGGGTGCGGGGGGGAAGCGGGCACGAGCTCCTCAACGCTCCATCCAAACTCAGTACCGGTCGCCTCCGAGACGCCCAAGATGCTTTCCAAGACGGCGCAAGCCCAGCTCGCCGAAAGATGACCCCAAGAGGACCCCCTCGAGGGTCGCAAGAGTTAACAAATCATTGATTATGCGAGTATGGTTTGACTGGTTTCGTGTTCTCGCATGTTCGGGCGTGCGGGCGTCAGCAAAGAAGCAACAAACGGCGCAACGGGCCGCAAATAGGGCAGCAAATAGGGCCTGGAGGCAGCCCAAAAAGCCGCAAGACGGCGCAATCTACCTCCAAGACGACATCAACAACCCTCAAGAGGCCCCGAGCAAGGCCCAGGAGCGGCCCAAGAGGGGGAACCCGAGAGGACCACAGGATGCCTCCCCCGCAAGATGACCCCCAAGACCCCCGCCATGATCCGAAGAGGCCCTCGAACAAAAAAACCATAGGGACCCCCTAGCCACACAGGGCGTTTGGAGAAGCTCCACAGGGCCGCCCCCTAGGTCTCCAAAAGGCACCGAAGAAACCCTGCAACAGACACGGAAGAGGAGGAGGAGGAGGAGGAGGAGGAGGAGGAGGAGCAGGAGGACGAATCACAGTCAGCTAGGCGGGAAGTGGCATAACGACACACGTACACACGCACACGGAGCCGGACTCCGCTCGTGTCCCCTTTCTGGGGGCCCGGCGGAACGGCGCAGGCCTCCTGCTCCGTGCGGGTGCCATTGATGTGCCCAACGGTTCCCATGCTGACGCTGCCGTATGCTGGGCCATGCTATGATCAGCGCTGCTACGATGCATTGCGCTGTGATCTGGTGATGGGCTACGCTGTGCACTGTCACGGCTGATACTGCTGCGTCGTGTCATACTATGGTATGCTGCGATGCGACTTCACATTGGCCAGTGCGAGTGTCATATCACGTTGTGCTAGTGGGTGTTGGGACATGCTACGCTGCACCACGATACTTCGATGGCAATGCTACCATGTGTTGCAGCATGCTTGGGTAGTGCTAGACTGTTCGATTATGTGGGACACCCCGCTGTAACACACTCTGCCTTATTGTGTTATGCCGTAACATGCTAAACATGAGGTGCTTTGTTATACCGTGACCCACTTCACTGAGTAATGGCTTGGTCGAAGCACGAAACCTCAGCGCGACCCAACGTATGAGGTCGAACATCTTACACTACCGTTTCGGAAAGCACCCCTGAGCAACGCAAGATAATCCCATACAACGAATTGCTTGGTTGCTTCGCGTTGTTTGGCATTCCTTAGTATTGACTGTGCGTTGCCTGCCATCGCTTGGAGTTGCTCGGCATTGCTCGGCATTGCGTTGCACGCATTGGCATTGCTCAACATTGTTCAGCATGCCTTGGCATTGCTTGGGATTGTTTGGCACTGTTTGATGTTAATTTGCGTTGTTTGACTCTGCTGGGCGCTGATTGTCATGGATTGGTATTCGCTTCGCGTTGCTTGGCACCGCTTGGAGTTGCTCGGTATTGCTTGGCATTGCTTGTCCTTGCTTTGCGTTGCTTTGCATTGCTTGGCATTGCTCGGTATTGCTTGGCATTGCTTGACGTTGCTTGGCACTGCTCGGCGCTGCGTGGCATTCATCAGTGTTGCTGGGCATTGTTTGGCATTGGTTGGCATTGCTTAGCGTTGCACGGTATTGCTTGGCGTTGCTCGGCAGTGTTTGGCTTTGGCTTTGCGCTGCGTGGCAACCCCGAGAATCGCCGGGGGACCCCATGCTAAGCAAGGCCAAGCAATTCCAAGCCATGCCGAACAACCCCGAGCAACCCTGGGCAAGCAACTGGGCGACGCCAGACCGCACCTCTGACGAAAGGCGTCGCACCTACTGGCTTCCTTCACTAACACATGAAATCCCATTCGGTAAGCCTGATACTGAAAAAAACGCTGCCAACCAATGCATATCGAACGTCGTGATGTTCTTACGACGTCGGATCTGGGGGTTCTCCTCCTCCTCCTCCTCCTCCTCCTCCTCCTCCTCCTCCTCCTCCTGCTGCTCCTTCTCTTCCTCCTTCTCCTGCTCCTCCTCCCCCTCCTCCTCCTCCTCTTCCTCCTCCTCCTCCCTCGCCTCCGCCTCCGCCTCCGCCTCCTCCTCCTTCTCCTCGTCCTCCTCCTTCTCCTCGTCCTCCTCTTCCTCCTCCTCCTCCTCCCTCCTCCCTCCTCCCTCCTCCCTCCTCCCTCCTCCTCCTCCCTCCTCCTGCTCCTCCTGCTCCTCCTGCTCCTCCTGCTCCTCCTGCTCCTGCTCCTGCTCCTCCTCCTCCTCCTCCTCCTCCTCCTCCTCCTCCTCCTCCTCCTCCTCCTCCTCCTCCTCCTCCTCCTCCTCCTCCTCCCCCCACTCGACCTGAGAACTCTACTGGGGGAGTGTTCATTCAAACCTTCGTGCGCATCCAGCATCCACCAATGGCGACAAGCGCGCCCTCAAAGGCCTAGAAAGACAGATGATCGTCATGGATGTCCCATCCACTGTTTTCCTCCCTCTCTCCCCCTCCTCCTCCTCCTCCTCCTCCTCCTCCTCCTCCTCCTCCTCGTCCTCGTCCTCCTCCTCTTCACTCCATCTCCTTCTCCTGCAGCTCAAGAACCCTGACATCTGACGTCGTGCATTCTTCGCAATGTGGCTCCCCAGAGGTCTGGGCATCTCCACGGGGGCCAGTTTTGATCCAGAACTTTGAATAGAGCCTTCTGGTCTCCAAGGGCCTCCTCCTCCTCCTCACCCTCTTTCTCCCCCTCCCTCTCCTCCTCGTTCTTGCCTCCCTCGTCCTACCTTTCCTGCCGTGGGGTTGCGAACTGCGCGACCGTCGCCACATGCGTGAGCTCCTGGAAGGTCCAGCGGGGTGGGTAGTCACGCCTGGGGGGATGCGATCTGCGCAACAGTCGCCCTGTTCGTGGGCTCCTGGGAGGTCCAGCGGAATGGGTATTCACACAGACCCCTGCGAGACCTCGCGGCTCCCTGGGGGGCTACGAATTGTGCAAATGTCGCCACTTGCGTGGGCTCCAGGGAGGTCCAGCGGAATGGGCAGTCACGAAAACTCTCGCGGCTCCCTGGGGTAAACGTCGCCACTTTCACGCTCCTGGGGGTCCAGCGGGGTGAGTCGTCATGCACACCCCTGCGAGACATCGCGGCTCCCTGGGGGGCTGCTTCCAGCAGGGTGAGCAGTCACGCAGACCCCTGCGAGACCTCCGGAACCCAGACTAGACCTCGGCGTTTCTCCGCCTCCCCCCCTCCACGTCTGTCCCCCATTCTGCGTTCGTTGTCATCCTTGTCGTCGCCGTCCCGTTCATCATCTAAGCTGCGCAGGTGTGCGACGCGCGTGGCCCGACATCGTTTGGCGAAGCAGTTCGGAGTGCTGCTTATTTCGCAACGTGCTCTTTTGTGTGGAGCGTTCATATGAACAGTCGCCTCGCGTGAAGGAGCTGGGTACGTCTCGGGTTCGGATGCATTTGCTTGACTGTCCCCAAGCCTTGCGCCCCCCCCCAACCCCCACCCAAGAATTGGAAAATTCATGAATGCCCCACCCTCGTGGTTTCTTCGCGACGCGAAAATTTCAACAGGACGGCCACTAATCGAATCGATAAGTCGGCTTAGCGATCGAAATGGAACGGGTCGGTGGACATCGGAAGCCAAGTCGGGAGAAATCGAATCGGCAGAAATCGGCGGGCCAGTAAGGCCCCCCTTGGAGAACGAAGTCCACATCGGAATCGATCGACACTGGACCGAACCGAGTCGGCGGAATCGAAATGAGCCCCGTGTCAGCGAATCGGGAGAGCGGGCGATGCTCCAGAGGGAACCCGTCGATGTCGCACTCCATCGCCTCCCCGTCCAGCTCGTCCGCGCCTGCGGCGGCGCTCGGGGAGGGCGGCCACGCTCGCCAGCGGTGCTGAGGGAAGATGGCCCCATACCACCACCGCCGAGCACCCAAAGGCGGCGAGAAGGACAAGCATATCTATATATATACATATATATATATACACGCATCGAGAGAGAGAGAGAGACACACAAGCGTTTGCAAACATAGTAATTAACGAGAGGGAGAGGGAGGAAGGTGGGGACAAAGACGAGGAGAGGAGGCCGAGAGGTACGCGGAGACGAAGGAAGAGATGAGGCTGAGACTGGAAGAGGTAAAGAGAGAGAGAGAGAGATGAATACATACAGAAAGACTACGAGTAATACACATTAACTACTGGAGTCACGCCGCGCCTCTGGCGCTGAGGTGTTAGTAGTCGGGCGCATTCGCAACGGCCGTTCCAAGGAGAAAAGCACTGATGACCAATCTGAAAGAGGCCACCGGAAAAAATACTTCACGAGTCGAAAAAGAGATCACAAATAAGGAACGCTTGGGAAAGCCACGCTGGTAGCCATTTGGAGCTGTCTTGGGCTCTAGACGACAAGTCTCTGCTCTACGCTGTCTTGGGCTACATAGCCTCTGCCCGACGACCTTGTGGAATCCGTGGATAAGGAAGACGGGCCCCTGTGCCAGCAGGCGTTCAAGGAGGGGCATGTCTCACCCTTGGCTGTAAGAGCAGTGAAGACCTCACGGGAAGAACCCAAGGGATAAGCGTTCGCTCGCACGTGGACGGGTTTCACAACACACACACACACGCACACAAACACACACCTTGAGACGCCTCGCGCCTTCCTAGCGAAGAGTAAAAGGGCTCTTGGAACCGTTGCCCATAAACCTTAAAGTGTCTCCATGCTCCCTCCAGAGCCCATTGGCTTGGCCTCTTGAATTCCTTGCAGCGTTCCCCGGGTTCTCTTCGGACCGTCGCTTGTGCCTATGAGGCTGCTTCTTATGGCCCCTTAGTACGCTCCTGGAGCCTCTGGAGGGCCTGCTGGCCAGCCCTCCCAAGCCTGACCCCAACACGATTCCGTCGCGAGACCCCCTCTAGATCTAACGACAATGACAACCCAAAAGACAATCCCTGGAAAAAAACCTGAGGACCGCGCCGTCCTGCACACGTCGAACCTCAAGCGCATCGGCACCGCTGGATGCTGGACACCGCATCGGCACCCCTGAGGCCATCTTGGGAACGTCTTCGGGGCCGGCGTGGGCTACCTTGAGCTCTGCGGGCCCTATTTGGGGTGTTCGGGGCCCTCTTGCCGCCTCTGAGGCTATCTTGGGAACGTCTTCGGGGCCGGCATGGGCTACCTTGAGCTCTGCGGGCCCTATTCGGGGTGTTTGGGGCCCTCTTGCCGCCTCGGAGGCCATCTTGGGAACGTATTCGGGGCCGGCATGGGCTAGCTTGAGCTCTTCGGGCCTCGGGGGGGTTGGGGCCCTCTTGCCGCCTCGGAGGCCATCTTGGGAACGTATTCGGGGCCGGCATGGGCTAGCTTGAGCTCTGCGGGCCCTGTTCGGGGTGCTCGGGGCCCTCTTGCCGCCTCGGGGGCCGCCTCGGGAGGCTTCTGGGGGCCCGGGGAGAGAGAGCGGAGATGCCAAGACCGGGCGTGGGTCCCTCCCTCCCTCCCTCCCTCCCTCCTCCCTTCTTTCCCTCCCTCCCTCCCGCCCTCCCTCCCTCCCTCTCCCCCTCTCCCCACCCTCCCTCCCTCCCTCCTCCGTTCCTCCCCCTCCCCATCTCCTTCCCTATCTCCCTCCCTCCCTCCCCGCACCCTCCCTCCCTCCCTCCCTCTCTCCCTCCCTCCCTCCCTTCCTCCATTCCTCTCTTCCTCTCTCCCTCCTCCATCCCTCCCTCCGTCCTCTCTCCCTCCACCCTCCCTCCATCACTGTCTCCCTCCCCCCCTCCCTCCTTCCTCCTCCCTATCTCCCTCCCTCAACCCTCCCTCCTTCTCTCCCTCCCTCCCTGCCTTCCTCCCTTCCTCCCTTCCTTCCGTCCCTCCTCCATTCCCTCCTCCAGTCCCTCCTCCATTCCCTCCTTTTTCCTTCTTTTTCCTCCTCGTCCTCCTCCTCCTCCTCCTCCTCCTCCTCCTCCTCTTCCTGCTCCTCCTCCTCCTCCTCCTCTTCCTCCTCCTCCTCCTCTCCTCCTCCTCCTCCTCCTCCTCCTCCTCCTCCTCCTCCTCCTCCTCCTCCTCCTCCTCCTCCTCCCCCATGCCCCTCCCCCTCCTCCCCTCCCCCTCTTCCTCCTCATCCCCCTCCTCTTCCTCCTTCTTCTCCTCCTCCTCCTACTACTCCTCCTCCTTAGTCCTCACTCCTCTCTCCTCACTCCTCACTGCTCCTCCGCCAATATGTTCTTCGATCCGCGGCCCCAGGTGCTCTGGTCACTTCCCCCGAAGCAGTCTTCCGCCGGGAGCCCGTCTTTGATGGGCCAGGGACCGACGACGGCCCCGGGGGCCAAGATGGAAGAGCAACTGCCAGTTGAAAGCTCAGATCGTCGGGGATCGGACGCCGCGGAACAAGCCGCAGCATCGTCGAGGCTCACCACCAGAACCCCAGACCCCATCCTCCCGCGGCGCTCCTCGAGCCCCTGTCGACCTGCGAGCGGCCCAGGAAGCCCGAACTGGGCGAGAACGCCCAGTTCGAAACAAAATTGCAGCGCTCGGGTCTCACAGGGAGGGTGGGGGGCAACCCTGAGCGGTTCCCAGATCTCCGACGTCGTCACCTTTTCACAACGCCAGCCCTGGGAGGCTTACGGTCGGACCGAGGCATAAGATCGAGGTCGGCTCGGGGAGGGTACCCTGATGTGTTTCGTGCTTGTTGGGTGTTCTTGTGCATCCTGGGGGAGGACACACTCGAGAACTCTCGAAGGCCTCATGTTTTTGACATTGTTGTTGATGATGATGATGCTGCTGATGATGATGATGACGATAATGATGGTGATGACGATGATTGTGATGATGATGGCGATGATGACGATGATGATGATTATGCTGTTGATGACGAGGCTGATGGTAATGATGATGATGCTGCTGATGACGATGATGATGAATATGATCTTCATGATGGTGAGTATGAGTATGATGCTGATGACGAGGATTATGGTGAGGATGATGATAATACTGCTGCTGCTGATGACAATGATGATGCTGATGCTGATGCTGCTGATGATGATGCTCATGTTGATGATGATGTTGTTGGTGTTGAACTCTCATTTCTGACAAATAATTATTGTTGATCCCCCCACCGGCGCATACTGCTTTTTCAATCAAACTGTGCCCCTCGACGCTCGCACCTTGTTTCTTGACAGGGGAAATCTTGATGCTCAAACTGGGCCCCCGGCCCCCCGGATTACAACAACAACCGCTCCCGCTTGAGACTTCCTTACAATTTAGCCAGGACCGCCGCTCCCCCCCCCGAGATTCCTTCACATTTTATTCAGGAATCGCGCTCTCGCTTGGGACTTCCTTACCACTTATTCAGGAATCGCTCTCCCGGCGCCCTGGGGTCGCGCTCTCGCTGGAGACTTGCTTGCAATTTACTGAAGAATAGCGCCGTTGCCTTGGAATTTCTTGCAATTTGCTCAAGCGGCGCGCTCCCGACACCCAGGCACCCAGGAGTCGCGCCCGTTGTGGCCCCATGTGCATGCCCTTCGTGGCCCCGCTGTCGCCGTTTGTGGCCCCCTCAGTCCTACGTGGCCCAGTTGCTACCCTCAGTGGCCCCATCGTTTCCTTCTGTGGCCCCGCATTATCTGCCCTTCGTGGCCCCCGCTTGTTCGCGCTCTTCGTGGCCCCATACGCATTCCCTTCATGTCCCCGCTGTCGCCCTTCGTGGCCTACTTCGTGTCCTTCGTGGCCCTGCTGTCGTTCTCTCTCGCTCTCGCTTTTGCTCGTCGTCGCCGTCGTCGTCGTCGTCGCCGTTGTCGTCGACGTCGTCGTCGTCGTCGCGGTCGGTCCCCTGTCCGTCCCTCTTGGGGTCGGGTCGACGGTCCGCGGCTGCCCCGCCGATCAGCGCTGCCGCTGGCCAGGCCGACGGTCCGCGGCCGCCCCGCCGCTTGCCGGGCCCCGGCCTGCAGGGAAGAAAGGAATACCCCCCAAAAGGGGTTCGATCGAAAACGAAGGGGGTGGGTTATCGAGGGTTTGGGAAGTGCGCGTTATTGGACACTCGAGCATGTAAGGGCGAACGGTCTTAAAATGAGTATTGTTGTTGTTGCTGTTGCTGTTGTTGTTGTTGTTGTTGTTGTTGTTGTTGTTGTTGTTGTTGTTGTTGTTGTTGTTGTTGTTGTTGTTGTTATTGTTATTGTTCTTGTTTTTGTCCTTCTTCTTGTTGGGTGTTCTTCTGTCCCAGGTCTGGCCGTGCTCTCGGGGGGCGAGGCCGCCAGGGCCAGGAGAGGGGGCGGGGGGCACCTCGCGGCGCGTCCCGTGCCGGTGCCTTCCCGCTCGCCGTTGTTTTGTTGCCCCAGGCGGGTGCGAAGCGTGTCGGGTCGGGCGCAGAGGAGGCCGGCCGCAGAGGAGGCCGGCATCGGCAGAAGTTCTTAGGGCCTCTAGAATGCCCTTGACGGGATCTCTTATGTAAGTACAACATCTTGGGTGCGTCGTACGGGGCGCTCTTAGATGCCTGCTGCTCGTCCTGTGGCCGTCTTAGGACTGGGGGCTGGCTCAAGAGGCCCAAACACGGAAACTGTCCAACTATTTGCACGAGTTTGCCCCTCTCGCTGTTTAGGTCTCAAGAACGTCGCAAGCACAGCCCCCGAGGACCCAAGAGGAGCCCAGCCCAAAAGGGGGTCCGCGAACGGACTCCAGGAGCATGGTTGGGAATCATCCCCCTCCTTCCCCCAAGATGGTTCCAGGACCCCTGCCAAGCACCCATGAGGCCGCCCAGAGGCCCACAGGGGAACTCCAAAAGGTCGCAACCATGTTCCTCGGAGCCCTTCACCGGGAATCATTGGAAGCACGGCAGAGAATACGTTGCAGCCTTCAATCGCTCCCACTGCGCCTTGACCTGC